GTCATGTTCAACCAACAGAAGATTAATTAGCAAAAATCGTGATTAGCCAACAGAAACTGTGATTAACAACAAAAGTCATCATTAACCTGCACAAGTCATGGCTAACCAACGGAAGTCTTGACTGACTAACCTGATTATAACTCAAATTGGTGGGTCTTCTACTAACTTCACAGAAATCTACTTGTTCAGTTTCCTAAGTACAGATAATACCACCCTCAAGGAATACATTTACCAATGAAGAATATTTTAAGGAACTAAGGCATAATAAATCCAAGCCTATTACCCTGGCTCTTGTTATAGTAGGACTTCATCATTCTTTCATTCAGTCAACAATTATTTATTGCATATCTACCATGTGTTGGGTTCTGTCCCAGCCCTGGGATATTCAGCTGGTATGGACCAATACAATTTTATTAAGTGTTGAAAAATTGAAATACTTTCCTACCAGTTGTTGATTAGCCTTTGTCTTGAGTCTTCCCACCTTCCCATCTAAGTACACTGTCTTGGTTCCAGAAAATCCATATGAAACACTGCCTGGAGGCCACCTCAGGCCCACCAATTTATCGTCTCTGGTTCCTGGGAGCCAGCCTTCATGCTTTTCCTTGTCCTTTGTCAGGGAGGCATGGATACTAGTGAGGAGGATGGCATTTTTTTTTTCTTTCTACACGCTCTATTCTGTTGGAAGGATGGCATTCTTGGTGGCACTGTGAAACCCTAATGGAGAAATATAATGCATGTGCCCGTTGGAATCCCTGAGACTGTGACCACTGGCTACAGACTGGCATTACCCTATGTCACCCATGTAACCTCTGAAGCAGACTTTAAATATCATCCCTGAATAGGTGTAAAATGGAGGGAAAAACAAAATACCAAGGTTGCCAAGGGGAGGAAGCATTTGTATGTGCTTAGATCAGTCAGAGAAGACTTCCTGGCTGAGATGACCTCACAGAAGTTTCCTGGGTTTACTGGGAGAAGAAAGTTCCCATAAAATGAAAGCGTAAAATTGTGGTGTTGGCAGCTCTAGACTTGGTATCAGAAAACTAGGTCTTAAGACTTCTAGCCCTAAGCTCTTGGACAGTATTGAAGGGTTCCAACTTTAGTCCAGCACAGGTACTGAATCAGGTTCTGCACAGAGATGTTGTGATGCCTCAGTTCTGAGTTAAATGTAAATGCCATCTGAGAACACTCTTGTTGGTGTCCTTTAAGCTCCATGCTGTTCTCAAGAAAATGCCATTCTTGCCCATGCAAGTGGGGAATCTCTCTTTCCTTAGTTTTCAAACACTACCTCTTCCTTGGCCATTTTTTTTGCCCACAGAAACTCCCTCAGTCTCATTCTCAAGCCATCCCAACTCATCACTCCGTGGTGTGATGACGCACTTGGAATCCCCAAAACTTACAACTGGAAGGGACCTTGTAAACAAATTACCCAGGTCTCATTTAGGAGAGCATTTGGCCCCATGGGGTTGTGACTCGCTCGAGGCTTCACAGCAGCAATGAGAAGGCTGCAGCCCAGGGGCTCAACGCCTGGTCCAGCCTTCTTCTCCTCCTGTGTCTTATCTCCTCTCTCCTCTCAGGTTGCTGCTCCAGGTGGGACTAAATTCATCCTCTTTACATGGTCAGCTTTTCAGTCTTTCCTCCTCCAGATGTGTCTTCAAGAATTATCCCTGACGTGTCTACCCATCCATCAGCTTCGGGAATTATCCTGCTTGAACTTAGTACTTCTTAAGCCTATTTTGACATGTGACAAGTTTTGGGTTACAGTTTTGCTTCCCAACGTATGAGACAGCTACTTTTAGCTGGGTCAGGTCCGTGGCTTTAAATCACATTGAATCACATAGTGAGAAACGTGTTTATTTTCTCTGAATTCCTGAAAGAGAAGGTCTTGAGTCAGCGCTGATATGTCTATACTACTTGTTCAGCTCCCTTTTCAGTAAGGAGGGAGGAGGCCTGGGGCTCCAAGCCTTCAGCAGACCTAGTATCCATACCCAGTGAGACTTAAATGACGTCTGATTTTTGTATTATCTGGTTTATTCTATGAGTGCCTTCTAATATTGAAAGTTGTTACTGGTTTTCCAATGAAGCCAGAGATTAAAGGTTTTTATTTTAAATAATGTTAAAAATAAAGGGAGGAGTCAAGTTAAAATATTAACTAAGTAAAATTTGGATGATATGGGGACATGTTACCCCCAAGTTACACACACACACACACACACCACACACACACACACACACACACACACACACACTCTCATTCTGGGTCCTCAAAGCTGTGTTCTACAAGGGAGCAAGGTTTATGTAGCAATGTCTAATGTCCACCAAGGAGAAGTAGCACTTGTATGATGCAAACCTCTCTTTGGCTCAGAGGGCATTTCTGTGTACCCAACCCATGTATAAAAATACCTCCCAGCATGTATTTTAGTCAGCAAGTATTCTTCCATGGTAGAAATGATTTACTGAAACTTAGACCTTCCCCTGAAATCCAGCCAAAAATCTGATTTGGAAAACCAAGAAGTCCTATTGAGTTTCTGCCATCCTTGTTACTGAACCACACTGACTGGGTAATTAGTGACATATAAAGTTCTTTAATTCCCTCTTCTTCTTTCCTTTGAGCATCATGAGATTGTTTTTCTCTCCTCTATGGTCACCCATGAAGAATTTGCTGAACTGAGTATTTGGCTCTTAATAAATGGAGGGGGGTCACTTTTGCCCCTACCTAATTTTCTTCACACACGCAGGGAAGACTGTATCTTCCCTTGTGTCAGTGTTTATTGGCAGAAGAGCATTGGAGGTTTCTTTAAATTGAGTTTGTACATCTGGCAGCCAAAAGCAGCCCCGTAGGTATTTTTTTGCAGGGAAAGATATGTTTTGAGGTGACCACTCTGCACAGATTCTGTGAGGGTTTCAGTGTATTCGTAACCTGTTATTTTAGATTCTGAGCATATATATTTGTAGCTCCAGAGTTACAAAATTAAACCGTGTTTCTTTGGGAAATGTGTGTGTCTAGGATATGTGACTGGATTTGCAACCTTAAACAAGATTTCCAGGCGCTTACAGTTGAACCATGCCAGTAAAAATATGTTTATGTAGACATTAAAATCCTGGGGTGCCCACGTAAATATCCTAAACAATGTGCGTTACATGAGCTTTCTTTGCTAATGTGCTTTAGCTTAGAATTGTTTTCAGTTCTGGCTCCTGCAGTGTTAATGTACTGCAAGGGAAGTTGAACTCAGATGGTGAGTCTTATTTTCTGTTCAGCACATTTAGTGGTGTTTTTCTTACATTCAAGAGAATTGTTTCTAGAGCGGGTTTAAGTCACCACTCAATAGTCATTCATCTGTGTATTCAACAAGCTTCACTCAGTGGTTTGTTGCCAGCAAAGCTGTATGGTAGGAAAGAGCAGGGCAAAGAGGTCGGGGACCCTTGCTCCTAGAGGCCCACATCTGCCTTCTTTCACTAGTGTTGCACAAAAATGCTAGAGTGCCATGGCATCAGCCTAGCTCACAGCAACCTCAAACTCCTGGGCTCAACCAATCCTGCTGCCTCAGCCTCCCGAGTAGCTGGGACTACAGGCATGTGCCCCCATGCCCGGCTAATTTTTTTTTCTATATATATTAGTTGGCCAATTAATTTCTTTCTATTTTTAGTAGAGACGGGGTCTTACTCTTGCTCAGGCTGGTTTCGAACTCTTGACCTTGAGCGATCCACCAGCCTCGGCCTCCCAGAGTGCTAGGATTATAGGCGTGAACTACCACACCCAGCCGATAAATTGCTTTTTGAGTCAAAATATAATTGTCAAAAAGTTTTTTTAAAAACCTCATTGAAATATTCAGTAAACACATGTCAAAGATTTATTTAACTCATTAATGAGGGGAACAGTAGGATGCCAAAGTTGGTTCAAAAGAGAATATGAGAAAAATACCCAAGTAGGTAAGTAGGAAGGAAAGAAGGAAAAAGGAATGCCGGAATAAAATTGCAAAGTTAGAAATAAAATGGTTAATGCCCTATGAGGCAATAAAACAGTAGTCTTTCGGGTTATAATTCATCTGTGCAGAAACTCTTTTCACCTACACTAGTCAAAATTCTGTGTAATTTACCAGTCTGCTACAGTCTGTACAGAGTCTGGATCCAATCAATAGTAAATAGTAAGTCAAACCAAGTTACACTTTTCAACAATGTTAGATGACTCTTAGATGGGCTTGTCAGTCAATGCTGCAGTATAATACTGCCCAATAGAACTTTCTGGAATAATGAAAATATTGTATGTATGTGCTGTCTAATATGGTAGCTACTGGCCAGATGTGGCTACTGAGCATTTGAAATGTGGCTAATGCAACTGGGGAACTTAATTTTTAATTTTATTTAATTTCCATTCATTTTTTTATTTAAACAGCCACATGTGGCTACCATATTGGATAGTCAGTACAGCTCTAATATGCTATTAAATGGGCAGTCTTTTCTGCCTTGTTTCCAATTTTGGATAACTTTTTTCCAAACACTTCATAAATTAAATATTTTAAGTGGTGTGACAGGAGCTAAAAACATAAAAGAACTCAGAGAAGACTCCTTCGAAAAAGACCTAATTCTTATATGAAGCAAATCATTTCTTCTGCAAATCTAATGCCTGACGTATTGGCTTTCTTGATAGTGGGCTCACCTGAAATTGCTCTGGCCAGCAAGGGAGCCAATTATGAAGAAGCTAAGCCTGTTTGGAAGGGTCCCAACTCTGCCTGATGTTTTCCAAGTGAATCAACTTGGAATTAACTTTCCTTTGGCTACATATTAATGGTCGCATCTAGTTTTGATTACAAGGGGCCTTTTGGTTTGCAACAAAGGGAGAGCTATTGATATTTCACAAGGATTTTAAGATTTAAATAAGTTAGCTTTGCTGCTGCCATCACTTCATTATTCAAAAAGAGCAATCAGTGCATTGATAAGCTTGGCTTTGATTTCTCATGGAGCTCTGTTGATTTATTTAGTTTTCTCATCTTGCTTGCTTGCAGGGGTTTTTCCGCAGAAGTATTCAGAAGAATATGATTTACACTTGTCACCGAGATAAGAACTGTGTTATTAATAAAGTCACCAGGAATCGATGCCAGTACTGTCGACTCCAGAAGTGCTTTGAAGTGGGAATGTCCAAAGAATGTAAGTGGAGTCTCAAAAAAAAAAAAAAAAAACTTTTCTCTGTTTGCCTTATCTCTAAATATGATTTGCTCAGCTTCCAAAATCAAATCATGAAGGACGTCAGTGTGTGGAATTCAGACTTGACACTAATGATATCTTGCCAACAGTAGGTGTAAACAGAGATGACATAAAAATGGAATAACTGTGGAGATTTTCAGATAAAAATTGAGTGGCAGTTGGTGAAAAGGCAGGAGTTGGGTGTCGTGGATGGCAGATTTGTATTGCAGCACAGTTATTCACTCACTGTTTATTCCGGAGCTGTAAGTAACTCAAGCAAAGCACTCAGCTATTAGTGACTCCATTTCCCCATCTTGACCATGGGTATAAGGATCTTTGCCTCTATTTGTGAGGATAAAATGAGATGAGAGGCATGAATATTACAAGGAGTAATAATTTGCCCTTTTGCAGAGGGGGAAGGATTGTATAGCTTCAGGTGTGGAAGAAACATTTCGAAATTGAAGGCATTGGCATTTTTCCATCCTTGACTTAGCTTTTCTCCTCCAAGCCATCTCCTTCCAAACAGTAATACATTTTCTTAATGCAAAAAGATTATATTTTAATAAACTAAAAATTGGCTAGTGGGCCATAAACATCTGATAAGAAGGTTTTGGAATGTATGTGCTTTAGTATAGACAGAATATATACACTACCAACAATTTTATTATTTATTATATATTTGCTCTTTGATGCATTCAAATGTAGGGAACAAGAAAGTGACAGGAAAATGGCTTGGCACAAGCAGGGCCAGGGAAGACAGGATTGTGTGCTAGGGGAAGAGCCTGTGGGATTGCTGATTTTTCATTTACTCCCCCCTGGGGATTCGGGGAAGGCCTACCACGTGTACAAGGCACTAGGCTCGGTGCTGTGCAAGCACCTTAGAGATGCCTGAGACATGGCCGCTGCTTTCTGAGAGCATGGGACAAAGAGCCAGGTACTCAGCCCATGATCCTACAATGGGGTTGGAGGGGATTATGTTATGAATCAAGGGCTCTTGGATTTTGGAACTGGGAAATGTGTCCCTGGGGAGAAGACTCAAGAGGGGAAACCCCTATAGCCAAGCAACAGCGTTGCTCTGAGGGTGCTCAGCTGGGAGACTGGCCCTCTACTGGGAGCTGGTGCTCAGGGATTGTAATGGGTGTGTACTGCCACCTTTCCTAACCGTACTCAGATTTCAGTTTGCTTTTATACCCCTTGAAGTTTCTACACTTCAAGGAAAACTTCAAAGTTAGGATCAGTGCAGTTGACTCAAGCCAATAAGCATATTCTATGTTCTAGCCGCCGTCATGGTTCATTGTGTCAGCATGACACAATGCTCCACTGGGAGGGAAATCAAGAGTCAAGTGTAGGATATTGGAACATGAGTACCCTCCCCTCCAATGTATGTGAACAAGGAAACAAGTAGCCACAAGCACCCCTGGTAGCTATCCTCCAAGCCAGCTACAGGGAGTCAGCTATAGGACAAAGCAGGCACTGTGGCTAGAAAAATAGCAATCAGGCCCTTAATGGCATCATTAAATTGCTAAACCAGCCAACTCTGGGAAGGCTACTGCCTCCGGGTCATTTTGTTATATTTGCCCAGAAGTGGCCATCAAAGCCTCTGGAATTAGGGTCCTGTTCATATTTAGAGTCTTCATGAACGAGAAGGGACCGGACCATCAGACAGGAAAGCCTCCTGCATGTGCCATGCCTTTTAGAAGTGTCTTTTTCCTCTGAGCCACTCTCTCTCTGCACATGATGGGTTACTTGACCACATTTCATCCAGTTTCCTTTGATCTCTCCAAACATTAGAGCTATTGAATAACTTGAAATCAATCAGTGTGGAGATATGGAGCTAATATTTAATTAGCCTCAAGCCCCAGATCCTACCACTGAGGAGAAAAGCATGATGACCTGAAACAGCCCGATTATTTACATGTGTGAGACTCACGCGTTGATCACCTAATGCTCCATCTTCGGTCTGGTGTTCTGTAGACGTGGATGTCATGCTGCATTTCTGCAGGAGAATTCGAGTTCAGGCTGAAATTATAAATGAGTAAGCCAGATGTGGACTCGGAGGAAAATCAGTGCTTTTGCATTATTTTGTGTGGGCTGGAGACCCATTTCCTGCTTACATTACTTAAAACCCATATCCTGCTGCTCTGTAAAAACTGGCAGCTTGGTTGGCAATTAAAAAAAATAATGTTTACACCCACAGGAAAACTCTAGCTTCAACCCTCAAGGAACTTATCACCTTAATTAGATTTAAAAATATAGAAATGGAAAGAAAATGGGGTTGTTATGTCCAAGTACACAAAAATAAATATATTTTTCTTCCAAGAAAATTGAAGGGGAAGAAATAAACACTTGGAGTATAGGGATTGGAAGTCTAATAGGATATTTTTAAAGTTGAAACAGAAGGAAGCAGGCAAATATGAGAATCAGTAACCAATTATACCACAGTATATGCAACTGAAACAAACCCAAGAATAATAGATACTCGGAGAATGTTAGAACTGAAAAGGGATCATAGAGATTGATTTTCACTCACCTCTCTCATTTGACATACAAGTACACTAAGACCCAGAAAGATGACACGGTTGGCCCAGCGATGCCCAACTGGCTAAAGACAGACCCGAGACTACAGTTGAAGTCTGCCGCCTCTCCTCGCCTTCCCTGCAATGGCAGGACTAGCAAGATTCACATTCAATTCTGGTCATAGGACATGTCAGTTCATTAGTCTGTGTCAGAACCTTTTCATTGCAAGTGACAGAAAACCCAGCTCAAACCGGCTTAAGCTAAAAAATCAGCACATGTAACTCAAAAGTCCAGAGTGACAAGGCAGGATCTGAGGACATGAGGGTGTTGTTTCTCTTCAGCTCTCATAGCTGATTTTTGCTGTGTTGGCTTCATTCTTGAGATTTCCTCATTTGGCTAACAAAGATGGCCCCCAATGGCTCCAGGCCAATAGTCTACCCAGCAAAAAGGGAGAGGCTGTCAGATCCCAGTCATTCCATCAAAGCCCAGGGACCTATTCTTATTGGCTAACGTGGGTCACGTGCCCCTCTGTGACTGCATTGCCTTGGCCTAGGGATAGAATATTGTCATTGGCTAGGTCTGGATCATGTCTCATCTCTAGACCCCAGGATCGAAGTTGCCTCCACCCAAACCATGAGGGCCTGGAGTATGGGAGGAAGAGTTCCTTGGTGGGAATCAGAAAGACAGGAGGAAAAAACAACCTCATGTCCGCCAGGATAAGTCCCATAGTGCTGTTCCCTGCGCATTCCAGAGAAATCTAAGAGTCATATTATAGTAATAGCTAAACTAGACAAGGTGTTTTCTGTGTGCCAGGTACTACACTAACCACTTTTAATGCTTTGTCCCCAGTGGGGACAATTTCTTATAACAGCCCTATGAGATAGGTTAGTGATAATCCCTCCTTCCTTCCCTCCCTGCTCCCACCCTTTTGGGGGCAGATATGGAAACTGAGGCACACAGAAGTTAATTAACTTAAGGTAACACAGGAGCAATGCTGGGATTTGGAACTGGGTAGTTTGATTATAAACTTTGCATTCAAACTGAAATATATACTGCATGCCATAAAAAGCAGCTTTTAAAATTTCTAGTTCCTTTTTATACTTTATTTTATTGCCTGTTAATAGAACAATAACCACACTCCTTGCTCTATATTAGAGATGTACCCCCTAGAAAATCATGTGCAAATTTAATTTTTGTAGATCAAATTTGATTTTAAATGTGTAAGAAGATTTACAAGTAAAAGAAATCCTTTAACATGGCCTACCAGAACAGTATGATTATTTCTTCTTTTTTCTGTTTCGTAAATGCTGATGAGTATACCTTATGTTTTCCAAGGGCTTTATAGAACTAGGGGAAGCCGTTTTGCAGAGGAATAGCTATCTGTCAGACCATGGAATTTGAAAGTGGTAATGGCAAGTGAAAAAAATCGATTTTCAGCAGCATTCTAAAAGTGGTACAAAAATTTATGAAGAATTGGAGAAAGAAGCCAAAAAAAGCAAAATGATTCAAAGTTGAGTGATGAGTTTCTGCTGGTAGGGTGGGAGGCTTGTAACAATGTCAGCAAAGAAAAGCATGTGGCACAGCCCTCAAATAAAAATAAGAAATAAGAAATAAAAAGGAGAAACAATAAATAAAGGCATAACATGTGGGATTGTGAAAGAGATGTCCAAACTTAGGATAAAGATACACAGCTAATTGTGCATGATGAGGAAGATGATTTATGACAATGCTATTTAGAGACTGTAGGAATGAATGAGTTACAGAAATACAAATGAACAGTTCAGATCTGTAAGAAAGGGTCAGCAAACTGTTTTTTTTTTTTTAAAAGAACTGGCCCTTTTTTAAAAAAATTTGAGATTTTAGAAAATATTTTTGGCTTTGTGGGCCATAAGGTCTCTGTGTCCATGACTCACCTCTACCATGATAGCACAGAAGCAGCCATAGAAAATATATAAACAAACAGGTGTGGTTCTGTTCCAATAAAACTTTACCAAAACAGGTGAAGGGCTAGGTCTGACCCACAGGCCATAGTTTGCCAATTCTGCTTTAATCCCTCCCCACCCCCGCCTCCCAGTAGCCAAGGATGCCACTATGGCTGCTGCTCTGTGATCTCATCCAGGTCACCTCCCACCAAGACACCCCAGCTTCCAGCCACACCGGACCATACTGACCCATGAGCCTTATGTCTCTGCTTTTCTAAGGCTTCCACCTTCCTCTCCTTCAGTTGAACCCCAGGAGCCATCAAAATGTCATTTTCTCTTTGAAGCCTTCCCAAGGCCTCTTCCCACACTCTAAGCAGAGTTATCTATGCTTTCCCCTATGTTCCCAGAGTGCTTTGCACATGCCTCCATGAGCCACAAACTTACATATGTGTAAGTTTCACACGGACAATGAGTCTCCCTGGCTTCACTCTAAACTCCTAGAGGGCAAGCATCAGGTCTTTCTCA